CACAGGCCTCCGGATGCCACTTAGTAACCCTTCCCAGATTCCTCAAAGATAGAGTTTCCAAACTGGGCAATGTATAGTAAACTTTAACTCTCTGAAATGAATGCATATATCAGAGAGCAGTTACTTTTAATGATTATTTCTGGGTTTTATTTGAAGATATTTAACTTTTTGCCATAGTCTTCTATGTGCTCTGAAATATCTCTTTTTAGATTTTACAGGACCAGTGATCAAACACTGCCTTAAGAGAAGAGAGATATAACTCCCTGAGTGCAATGCACACATCACAAAGCACTTTCTCAGAAAGCTTCTCTCCAGTTTTTATCTAAGATATTTCCTGTTTCGCCATAAGACTGAATGTGCTCCTGAATGTCCCTTCATGAATCCGTCCATGACGGTGTTTGAAAACTGCCTAATAGAAAGAAAGTTTTATCTATGTGAGATGAATAAACTTACCTATCAGAAAGCAGTTTCACAGAAAGCTTCTTTCCAGTTTTTGTCTGAGGATATTTTCTTTTCCACCATAGCCGTCCATATACTCCCAAATGTTCACTGATACCTTTTTCTCCAAAAGAGATTCCCCATTCCTCTATGAGAAGAAAAGTATAACTCTATGAGTGGAATGCACACGTCCCAAAGCAACTCCTCGGAAATCTTCTTTCCAGTTTCTCTCTGAAGATATTTCCGTTTTCATTATAAGCCTCAAAGCGCTCCCGAGTGTCACTTAGCTGACTAAAATAAAACAGTGTTAGAATACTGCTCAAAATTGAGTGATTTTAAACTGCTCAATCCAAAGAATAATTTAACTCTATAGATTAATACATACATCACAAAACAGTTGCTCAGAAAGCTTCTCTCCAGTTTTCAGCAGAAGACATTTCCTTGCTCGCCAGAGGCCTCCGGTCACCACTTAATATCCCTTCGCAGAGTCCTCAAAGACAGATTTTTGAAACTGGGAAATGAAGAGTAAGCTTTAACTCTCTGAAATGAATGTACATCTCAGAGAGCAGTTTCCTGGAATACTTCTTTCTGGGTTTTGTTTCAGGATATCTCACTTTTCACTATAGTCTTTCATGCGCTACAAATTATCACTTTTTCAGAAGATTGTTAAAACACTGCCTAATGAGAAAAGAGATATAACTCCCTGAGTGGAATAGACACATTACAAAGCAGTTTCTCAGAAAACTTCTATCCAATTTTTATTTGAATATATCTCCTTTTGCACCGTAGGCCTGAAGGTGCTCCCAAATGTCCTTTCGTGAATCTGTCCATGACGGTGTTTCCAAACTGCATAATAGAAAGAAAGATTTATCTATGTGAGAAAAATAAACACAGTTATCACAAAGCTGTTTCACAGAAAGCTTCTTTCCAGTTATTGTGTGAGGATATTTCCTTTTTCACAATAGCCGGCCTTATACTCCCAAATGTCCCCGGTAGCTTTTTCTTCAAAAGGGATTCCCCAATCCTCTATGAGAAGAAAAGTATAACTCTGTGAGTAGAATGCATATGTCATGAAATAGTTCCTAAGAAATCTTCTCTCCAGTTTCTATCTGAAGATATTTCTGTTTTCACCATAAGCCTCAAAGCGCTCCCGAGTATCCCTTAGCTGACTAAACTAAAACAGTGTTAGAATACTGCTCAATGAAAGCAGAAGCTTAACCATGCGAGTGGAATTCACATGACAGAGAGTACTTTCACAGAAAGTTTCCTTCTCATTTTTATCGGAGGGTATTTCCTTTTCAGCATATTCTTAAGAGTGTTCCCAAATGTCCTTTCTAAGGTTCCTCAGAAGGAGTGATTTCAACCTGCTCAATCCAAAGAATGATTTAACTCTATGAGATGAATAAACACATCACAAAGCAGTTGCTCAGAAAGCTTCTCTCCAGTTTTCAATGGAAGACATTTCCTTGCTCGCCACAGGCCTCCAGTCGCCACTCAATATCCCTTCGCAAAATCGTCAAAGACAGACTTTCTAAACTGGGAAATGTAGAGTAAGCTTTAACTTCCTGAAATGAATATACATGTCAGAGAGCAGTTTCTTGGAACAATTCGTTTTGGGTTTTATTTCAGGATACTTCACTTTTTGCAATCATCTTCCCTGCAATTGGAAATACTACTTTTTTGGTTTTACAGGAACAGTGTTCGAACACTGTCTTACGAGAAAAGAGTTAAAACTCCCTGAGTGCATTGCACACATCACAAAGCAGTTTCTCAGAAAGCTTCTATCCAGTTTTTGTCTGAAGATATCTCCTTTTTCACCGTAGGCCTGAATGTGCTCCCGAACGTCCCTTCACAGATGTGTCTATGATGGAGTTTCCAAACTGCGTAATAGAAAGAAAGTTTTATCTATGTGAGATGAATAAACATATGTATCACAAAGCAGTTTCACAGAAATCTTTCCAGTTTTTGTCTGAGGATATTTCCTTTTTCACTATAGCCATCCCTATACTCCCGAATGTCCCTTGGTAGCTTTTTCTCCAAAACGGATTCCCCAGTGCTCTGTGAGAAGAAAGGTATAATTCTGTGAGTGGAATGCACACATCAAAAAGCAGCACCTCGCAGAGCTTCTCTCCAGTTTCTATAAGAACATATTTCCTTTTCCACCATAAGCCTCAAAGTGTTCCTGAATATCCCTTTGCACATTAAACATAAACAGTGTTAGAAAACTGTTCAATGAAAAGAGAAGCTTAATTGTGTGACTGGAATTCACGTGACACAGAGCAGTTTCACAGAATACTTCCTTCTAGTTTTTATCTGAAGGTATTTCTTTCTCAGCATATTCTAAAGAGCATTCCCAAATTTCCTTTCTCATGTTTCACAGAAACAGTGATTTCAAACTGCTCAATCCAAGGAAAGATTTAACTCTGTGAGATGAATACACACATCACAAAGTAGTGGCTCCAAAAGCCTCCCTTCAGTTTTCACCAGAAGACATTTTGTGGCTCACCACAGTCCTTCAGGCTCCACTTTATATCCCTTCGCAGATTCCTCAAAGAGGGAGTTTCCAAACTGGGCATTGTAGAGTAAGCTTTAACTCTGTGAAATGAATACACATATCAGAGAGCATTTTCTTGGAACGCTTCTTTCTGGATTTTATTTCAGAATATTTCACTTTTCGCAGGAGTCCTCAATGCACTCCGAAATATCACTTTTTTGATTTTACAGGAACAGTGTCCAAACACTGCCTTATGAGAAAAGAGGTATAACACCCTGAGTGGAATGCACACATCACAAAGCAGTTTCTCAGAAAGCTTCTCTCCAGTTTTTATCTGAAGATATTTCCATTTTCATGATAGTCCTGCATGTGCTCCCAAATGTCCCTTCTCGGATCCATCCATGACACAGTTTCCATATTGTATTATATAAAGTTTTGTCTATGTGAGATGAATAAATATATCTATCACAAACCAGTTTCAAAGAAAGTTTCTTTACAGTTTTTGTTTGAGCATAATTTCTTTTTCACCATGGCGGTCCTTATACTCCCGAATGTCCCTTGGTGGCTTTTTCTCCAAAAGAGATTCCCCAATCCTCTATGAGGAGAAAGGTATAACTCTGTGAGTGGAATGCACACGTCACAAAGCAACTCGTTGGAAAGCTTCTTTCCAGTTTCTATCTGAAGATATTTCCGTTTTCACCATAAGCCTCAAAGCACTCCCGAGTATCCCTTAGCTGACTAACCTAAAACAGTGTTAGAATACAGCTCAATGAAAACAGAAGTTTAATTGTGCGAGTGGAATTCACATGACACAGAGTTGTTTCACAGAAAGCTTCCTTCGCGTTTTTATCGGAGGGTATTTCTTTTTCAGCTCATTCTTAAGAGCGTTCCCAAATGTCCTTTCTCAGGTTCCACAGAAAGAGGGATTTCAAACTGCTCAATCCAAAGAATGATTTAACTCTATGAGATGAATACATACATCACAAAGCAGTTTTTCAGAAAACTTCTCTCCAGTTTTAAACGGAAGGCATTTCTTGCTCCCCACAGGCCTCTGGTCGCCACTTAATATCCCTTCGTAGAATCCTCAAAGACAGACTTTCCAAACTGGAAAATGTAGAGTAAGCTATAACTCTGTGAAAAGAATGGACATGTGAGAGAGCAGTTTCTTGGAATGCATCTTTCTGGGTTTTATTTCAGGATACTTCACTTTTCGTCATAGTCTTCCATGTCCTCCAAAATATTATTTTTTCGGTTTTACAGGAACAGTGTTCAAACACTGGATTATGAGAAAAGAGATATAACTCCCTGAGTGGAATGCACACATCATAAAGCAGTTTCTCAGAAAGCTTCCATCCAGTTTTAACCTGAAGATACCTCCTTTTTCACCATAGGCCTGAATGTGCTCCCAAATGTCCCTTCACAGATCCTTCCATGACAGAGTCTCCAAAGTGCGTAATATAGAAAAGTTTTATCTATGTGAGATGAATAAACATATCTATCACAAAGCAGTTTCACAGAAAGCTTCTTTTCAGTTTTTGTCTGAGGATAATTCCTTTTTCACCATAGCTCTCCATACACCCCCTAATGTCCCCTGGTAGCTTTTCCTCCAAAAGTGATTTCCCAATCCTCTATGAGAAGAAAGGTATAATTCTGTAAGTGGAATGCACAAGTCACAAAGCCGCTCCTCAGAAACCTTCTTTTCAGTTTCTATCTGAAGATATTTCCTTTTACACCACAATCCTCAAAGTGCTCCCGAATATCCCGTCAGAGACTAAACAAAAGCAATGTAGAATACTGCTCAATGAAAACAGAAGCTTAATTGTGTGAATGGAATTCACATGACACAGAGCAGTTTCACAGAAAGCTTCCTTCTGTTTTTTATTGGAGCGTATTTCTATTTCAGCATATTATTAAGAGTGTTCCCAAATGTCCTTTCCTACGTTCCACAGAAAGAGTGATTTCAAACTGCTCAATCCAAAGAATGATTTACCTCTAGGAGATGAATACACACATCACAAAGTAGTTGCTCAGAAAGCTTCTCTCCAGTTTTCTTTTTTTTTTTTCTTTTTCCAACAAGAAGCCATAACTTTATTTATGATAGAAACAGTACAAATTTGAAACCAAGCTGCAGTTACTCCTTTGAGACACCAAAAAAAGTTGCTTTCAGATGGTTACATTGTTAATTCCATAATCGCATTTACAATATCATTACTGTTGTTCTTCATGGCTCGGACTGCCTTTGCTCTCGACACATTTGCTTGTGACATGACCAATTCTATGTCCTTAACTTCTACACCTGTTTCATCGACCTCTTCCTCTTCACTCTCCTCTTGTACGGTTGGAGTCTGTGTGTTTTCTTGAATGTTTGAGACAGCTTCACCTTGAACTTTGAATTTCTCAGCAGCTGCTAGTTGTGCTTGCTGAGATAAATCTTCAATCTTGGCTTCCCCAAAAACTATGTAAGTATCTGAAGCAGGGCTCTTGTAGACATCTGGTTTTGTGATGACAAAGAGGATATTCTTAGATTTCCGGGTAGTGACTCTAGTAACTCCTGTAACCTGTCGAAGACCCAGTTTGGACATAGCCTTCCGTGCCTTCTTTTCACTCCGACTCTGTTTTGCTTTACTGACTGGTTCTTCATCAATTTCAGCTGCTGCCGCCAGCTGGGCTTGTTGTGTGGTTGCCTGGGTGGAATCCTGTTCTTCAAGCTCTGGTACTGATTCATCACTGTCAGATTCTGTTCCAGACCCTGTCTCAGCCTGGGGCTGCGGCAACTCCTGCTCTGTAGCAGGGACGGTTTCTGTGGCTTCGCCGGGCATTTTGTTCAGGGAACGCGGAACCAAGATGGCGGCAGAAAGAGCCAGTTTTCAATGGAAGACATTTTCTTGCTGGCCATTGGACTCCGGTCACCACTTAATATCCCTTTGCAGAATCCTAGAAGGCAGACGTTCCAAACTGGGAAATATAGAGGAAGCTTTAACTCTGTGAAATGGATGGACATTTCAGAGAGCCGTTTCTTGGAATGCTTGTTTTCCGGTTTTATTTGATGATATTTCACTTTTCAACATAGTCTTCAATGTGCTCTGAATATCAGTTTTTCAGTTTTACAGAAACAGTGTTCAAACTGTACCTTATGAGAAGAAAGGTGAAACTCCCTGAGTGGAATGCACACATCACGAAGTAGTTTCTCAGAAAGCTTCTCTCCAGTTTTTATATGACGATATTTCCTTTTTCACCATAGGCCCGAATGTGATCCCGAATATCCCTTCGTGGATCCATCCTTGATGGAGTTTCAAAAGTGCATAATAGAAAGAAAGCTTTATATATGTGAGATGAATAAACATAGTAAAAAGCAGATACACAGAAAGCTTCTTTCCAGTTTTTATCTGAAGATATTTCATTTTTCACCATAGTCTTGAACGTGTTCCCGAATGTCTCTTCACGGATCCGTCCATGACAGAGTTTCCAGGGTGCGTCATGTAAAGAAAGCTTTATCTATGTGAGATGAATATATATATCACAGAGCAGTTTCACAGAAAGCTTCTTTCCATTTTTTGTCTGAGGTTATTTCTCTTTTCACCATAGGCATCAACATGCTCCTGAATATCACTTGGTACCTTTTTCACCAAAAGGGTTTCCCCGATACTGTATGAGAAGAGAGATATAACACTGTGACAGAAATGCACACGTCACAAAGCACTTCCTCGGAAAGTTTATCTCCAGTTTCGGTCTGAACATACTTCCTTTTTCACCGTAAGCCTCAAAGCGCCCGCTAATAATCCTTCACAAGCTAAACATAAACAGAATTAGAAAACTGCTCAATGAAAAGAGAGGCTTAACTGAGCAAGAGGAATTAAGAAGACACAGAGAAGTTTCACAGAAAGCTACTTTCTGGATTTTACCTGAGGATATTACATTCTCCATATTCTAATGTGCATTCCCAAATGTCCTTCATGATTCCACAAAAACAGTGATTTCAAACTGCTCAATCCAAAGAATAGTTTAACTCTATTAGACAAATAATACACACACCACAAAACAGTTGCTCAGAAAGCTTCTCTCCAGTTTTCATCGGAAGACGTTTCCTTGCTCACTACAACCCTACGGGCGCCAGTTAATATCCCTTCGCAGAATCCTCAAAGACTGAGATTCCAAACTGGGAAATGTAGAATAAGCTTTAACTCTGTGAAAGGAGTGCACACATCAGAGACCAGTTTCATGAACGCTTCTTACTGGGTATTATATGAGGATATTTTACTTTTCTCCATAGTCTTCAATGCGCTCTGAAATATCACTTTTTCGGTTTTACAGAAACAGTGTTCAAACACTGCCTTATGAGAAAAGAAGTATAACTCCCTGAGTGGAATGCACACATCACAAAGCAGCTTCTGAGAAAGCTTCTCTCCAGTTTTTATCTGAAGATATTTCCTTTTTCACCATAGGCCTGAATGTGCTCCCGAATGTCCTTTCACGAATCCATCCATGACGGCAATTCTAGACTGCGTAATAGAAAGAAAGCTTATCTATGTGAGATGAATAAACATATTTATCACAAAGCAGTTTCACAGAAAGCTTCTTACCAGTTTTTGTCTGAGGATATTTCCTTTTTCACCATAGCCATCCATATACTCCTGAATGTCCCCTGGTAGCTTTTTCTCCAAAAGTGATTCTCCAATCTCCTATGAGAAGAAAAGTGTAACTCTGTGAGTGTATTGCACACTTTCCAAAGCAGCTCCTCGGAAAGCTTCTCTCCTGTTTCTATCAGAAGATATTCCCTTTTTCACCATAAGCCTCAAAGCACTCCTGAATATCCCTTCGCAGACTAAACAAAAACAGTGTCAGAATGTTGCTCAATTAAAACAGAAGTTTAACTGTGTGAGCGAATTTATGTGACACAGAGCAGTTTCACAGAAAGCTTCCTTCTGGTGTCTATCTGAGGGTATTTCTTTTTCAGGATATTCTAAAGAGCATTCCCAAATGTCCTTTCTCAGATTCCACAGAAATAGTGATTTCAAATTGCTCAATCCAAAGAATGATTTAACTCTATGAGATGAATACAAATATCACAAAAGAGTTGCACAGAAAGCTTCTCTCAACTTTCAATGGAAGAAATTTCCTTGCTGGCCGCAGGCCTCAGGTTGCCACTTAATATCCCTTCGCAGTATCCTCAAAGATAGACTTTCCAAACTGGGAAATGTAGAATACACTTTGAGTCTGTGAAATGAATGGACATGTCAGAGAGCTATTTCTTGGAATCCTTCTTTCTGGGTTTTATTGGACAACATATCACTTCTCGCCATAGTCTTCAATGTGCTCTTAATATCACTTTTGTAATTTTACAGGAACAGTGTTGAAACAGAGCCTTATGAGAAAAAATGTATAACTCCATGAGTGGAATGCACACATCACCAAGCTCTTTCTCAGAATGCTTCTCTCCAGTTTTTAATCTGATGATATTTCCTTTTTCACCATTGGCCCCGAATATGATCCCCAATATCCCTTCGTGGATCCATCCATGATGGAGATTCCAAGCTGTGTAATGTAAAGAAAGCTTTTTCTATGTGAGATGGATACACGTAGCAAAAAGCAGATTCACAGAAACTTCTTTCCAGTTTTTATCTGAAGATATTTCATTTTTCACCATAGTCCTGAATGTGCTCCTGAATGTCCCTTTGTGGATCCGTCCATGACAGGGTTTCCAAGCTGTGTAATGTAAAGAAAGCTTCATCTATGTGAGATGAATGAGAAGAGAGGTATAACACTGTGAAAGGAATGCACACATCACAAAGCAGTTTCTCAGAAAGCTTCTCTCCAGTTTCCTTCTGAGCATATTTCCTTTTTCACCATAAGCCTCAAAGTGCTCACAAATATCCCTTCACATGCTAAACATAAACAGCGTTAGAAAACTTCCCAATGAAAACAGAGGCTTCACTGAGTGAGAGGAATTAAGAAGACACAGAGTAGTTTCACAGAAAGCTTCCTTCTGGTTTCTATCTGAGGTTATTTCTTTTTCAGGATATTCTAAAGTGTGTTCCCAAATGTTCTTTCTCAGATTCCACAGAAACAGGGATTTCAAACTGGTCAATCCAAAGAATCATTTAACTCTATGAGGTACATACAAACATCACAAAATTGTTGCTCAGAAAGTTTATCTCCAATATTCAATGGAAGACATTTCCTTGCTTGCCACAGGCCTCCGGTTGCCACTTAATATCCCTTCCCAGAATTTTCAAAGACAGACTTTCGAAACTAGGAAATGTAGAGTAACTTTTAACTCTGTGAAGGGAATGGAATGTCTGAGAGCAGTTTCTTGGAATGTTTCTTTCTGGGTTTTATTTGACGACATTTCACTTTTTGCCGTAGTCTTCAACGTGCTCCGAATATCACTTTTTTAGTTTTACAGGAACAGTGGTCAAACAGTGCCTTATGAGAAGAAAGGCATAACACCCTGAGTGAAATTGAGACATCACCAAGCAGTTTCTCAGAAAGCTTTTCTCCAGTTTTCATTGGAAGACGTTTCTTTGCTCACCACAGGCCTCTGGGTGCCACGTAATATCCCTTCCCTAATTCCTCAAAAACAGAGTTTCCAAAGTGGGTAATGTAGAATAAGCTTTAACTCTGTGAAATGAATGCACATATCAGAGAGCAGTTTCTTGATATGCTTCTTTCTGGGTTTATTTGAGGATATTTCACTTTTTGCCATAGTCTTCAAAGGGCTTCGAGATATCAACTTTTCGGTTTACAGGAAGAGTGTTCAAACACTGACTTATGAGAAAAAAGGTATAACTCCCTTGGTGGAATGCACGCATCACAAAGCAGTTTCTCAGAAAGCTTCTCCCCGGTTTTTATTTGAATATATTTGCATTTTCACCATAGTACTGATTGTGCTTCCGAATGTCCCTTCGCGGATCCGTCCATCACAGAGCTTCCAAAATGCATTATATAAAGAAAGTTTTATCTATGTGAGATGAATAAACATATCTATCACAAAGCAGTTTCACAGAAAGCTTCTTTCCAGTTTTTGTTTGAGCATAATTCTTTTTTCACCATAGCCGTCCACGTACTCCCAATTGTCCCTTAGTAGCATTTTCTCCAAAGTGATTCGCCAACCCTCTATGAGTAGAAAGGTATAACTCTGTGAGTGGAATGCACACATCACAAAGCAACTCCTTGGAAACCTTCTCTCCAGTTTCTATCTGAAGATATTTCTGTTTTCACCATAAACCTCAAAGCGCTCCCAAATATCCCTTCACAGACTAAACAAAAACAATGGTACAATACTTCTCAATGAAAAGAGAAGTTTAGCTAGGTGAGTGGAATTCACGTGATCCAGAGCAGATTCACCGAAAGCTTACTTCTGGTTTTTATCTGAAGGTATTTCTTTTTCAATATATTGTAAAGAGTATTCCCAAATGTCCTTTCTCAGATTCCACAGAAACAGTGATTTCAAACTGCTCAAACCAAAGAATGATTTAGCTCTATGAGATGAAAATACACATCACAGGAAGTTACTCACAAAGCTTCTCTACAGTTTTCAATGGAAGAGATTTCCTTGCTCTCCACAGGCCTCCAGGTGTCACTTAATATCCCCTTGCAGATTCCTCAAAGACAGATTTTCTAGACTGGGCAATGTAGAGGAAGCTTTATCTCTGTGAAATGAATGCACTTATCTGAAAACAGTTTCTTGGAACGGTTCTTTCTGGGTTTTATTTGAGGATATTTCATTTTTCGTCATAGTCTTCAATGCGCTCCGAAATATCACTTTTTCGATTTTACAGGAACAATGTTAAAACACGGCCTTATGAGAAAAGAGGTATAACTCCCTGAGTGGAATGCACACATCACAAAACAGTTTCCC